ACCGTGGGACCTTGTATAGACAGGTGTGTGCCTTTCCAAATAATGTCCAATCAATTGAATTTACCACAGGTGGACTCCAAGTTGTAGAAACATCTCAAGGATGATCAATGGAAACAGGATGCAACTGAGCTCAATTTGGAGTCTCATAGCAAAGGGTTTTAATACTTATGTAAATAAGGTATTTCTGTTTTTTAGAAAGAACTGTTTTCACTTTGTCATTATGGGGTATTGTGTGTAGATTGATGAGAATTTTGTATTTATTTAATCTATTTTAGAATAAGGCTGTAACGTATCAAAATGTGGAAAAAGTGAAGGGTTCTGAATACTTTCCGAATGCACTGTATTTGTCATTATTACATTTTGCGAATCACACGACTGCGAGGCATGGTTCCAAATGGAGGCAAGACACGTATCGAAGACGTGTGTTAGGGGGAAGGTGTTGTTGGAGATGTTTGGGTTGGTAGATTAAGACAATTAAGCCAATGCCTATGCACAGGTTTCTCACTGTCTTTCTATTGGCTAACGAAGGCATTGGTCCACCAGACTCTTTGGGCAGAAGTGTCTGAGAAGCAGATTACTACTCTGCTGACAAAATAGAGGCTGTACAGTTTAAAGATTGTGAAGATGCATTATAATGTCCTTGTACAACACCAGCACGTACATCAAGAGGTTGGACTGACATACGGATGGTTGCGGGTTTAAGTCCCTTGACAGGTAGCTATGTGAGATGAAAGATTGATTAATGGCAGTGGGAAGTATTGGAGTCCTCAGAACCTCAAAAACATTGATTGATGGAAAACTTCAATTATCTGAGTGTTTCCTTTCAAACTTGTCCCTTGAATTATTCCTCCAACTACATCTGTTCTGTCTTGGAGAAAACAATCAAGCTCCACTATATCCCATGTAGTGAGTAGCAGGTATCAACTGGTCCCTCTGCAGAAGCCATTCAGGTTTGGAAAAACATTGTCAATGGAGCATGAGGAAATCTAGGCTGAACAAAGCAAATACATTTTATTAACTATTGACCTCTTTATCCTTATTAAACTGGCGTTAGAATTCCAACCATCACGTTTGGCAATGAGGCTGCACTGAGCTTCAGAAGTTGTATTGACCTCAGCCCTGCAGGCCAGTGAGTGAGCAGCCCCAAATGTCACAGAGACCGTGGCCAGTGTTCTGTCAAACCCACATCATTAGCACTATAATGTCAACCCAGTTATGACTAACTCTGAACCGCATGTTTTCAGATCGCATTATACAGGCTGTGAAATAGGTTAGGAGACAATTGGCCCAGTGTCGTTCAGGGTAGGGGAGGGAATGGCCGGCAGGGATGTTGGTAGAGCATGGCGTTTGCAACGCCAGGGTTGTGGGTTCGTTTCCCACGGGGGGCCAGTATGAAAAAATATATATAATGTATGCACTCACTAACTGTAAGTCGCTCTGGATAAGAGCGTCTGCTAAATGACTAAAATGTAAATGTCAAAAGTAGTGCACTATGTAGGATATAGGGGCCTGGATGGCCTGTCCATCATTCACAGTACCTGCCCTGTCTGCCCTGTCCGTCTGCTGGGCCAAAGGTGCATAGCGGAGGGCAGAAATATTTCACAGGTTACGTTAATGTGCGTAGGTAGACTTCCTACCACACTCTCTGGAATTACGCTCTGAATTCGGACGCATTAATCTTTATTTTCTTGGCTGAGTGGGATTGGGGGAAACAAACGTTCAAAAGGGATTTGGTTGGAAGGGCTATCACTGAGTTTGATTTCTAGAGACCACAGGATAGAATGTTGTATGTGACTGCTTCACAAATTCACTAGATTTTACATAACGAGATCAAACTGATTTTGCTCTGGGTTTTTCTGGTATTGTAATTGTTTCTTATTACAGTAGGGGGAAAAGGGGCATGGGAAATACAGTAGCTCACGAAAATGCATAGGCCTAAGATAGAGACACTGAACAAACCATGACCTTTCTGTTCTATTTTTGGTAGGTTATTTTGTTAATAATTCAAGGGTAATTATCCAAGTGAAGGAGTACATCAAAAACGCTTTGCTCTGTTGTTTTGCTAATACATTTTTACTGTATTACAGCATAGAAAATACAGAAGAGCTAGGCCAGGGCATCAAAATACATCAGCTAGAAAATGTATTTTCGATTCTATTTACATTTTCAATCATAATACAATAATATTTTACATTTCTCCAAGTCAAAAGAAAAAGCACATCAAAAACGTTTGTCTCCCGGTATGGATGGCTTTGACGCAGAGTTTTCATGGTCTCGCTCCAGAGGAATGCACCAGACCCAGTCAGCAAACACACAACTGTGAAGTCTGACATTTTTCAACTTCCAGAGCGAACACTATTTGACCAGCAGTGAATCATGTCACTGGCAGCAGAGAGAGCTGCTCTGAATCTCAGGTCATTTATAAGGTGCTTTTCCAGCAGCTGCTCCTTCTGGCGGGAGCATGGATAGGGGCTGCGTCCCAAATGGCACCCTATTCCCTATATAGTGCACTACGTTTGACCAGAGCCCTATATATATGGGCCCTGGTCAAATTATGTGCACTATATAGGGAGTAGGGTGCCATTTGGGACGCAAGCAGGGATAGAAGGATTGGACGCAGCATGCATTGTTTTAGTTCTAGGGGAGGTAGCCGAGATGTTTCATTGATTGTTGTGACTGGTGATAAATGGGGAATGGAAAGAATGTTCCATGGAGAGAATGGCAAAAATGGGAGGAATGCAGAACTGGATTCCAAAATATGAATTGAATCAAACAGTCAACAGTTGACATATCGGCAGGTGTAGTCTGAATTATGAATACAAAGCACTAGAGCCCGAGTGATATATCATTTCACCGAAATGATCGGCCGTGTAGTGTATATCGATATCGACCGATAATTCCACTTATAACCGATATTCAATAAATAGGAGGAGAAAGGGGACTCTCATGCTGATCTGAACACTTCATTATTGTCACAATATAAGAATTCAACATTTGAAGTATATTTCTTGGACAATTGCTCTTTTGGATGGCAATTTCAGTGTGGAAAAATTTCACTTTTTCATTTCCCAACTGTAAAACAGTATGTCGGCAGATACCTGTATATCGGTACCAGTAAGTTTTGTCCCTCCAAAGATCGGACCCAAATAAACATAGCGGTCGGCCTCTACAAAGCACACTGCACAGCCACCATTCAAAATAAGCTCATCGTGCTGACTTATAGGCACACACAATGTGTGTCCCAAATGGCACCCTATTTGCTACATAGTTCACTACTTTTCGACCAAGGTCCATAGGGTTCTGGTCAAAAATAGTGAACTATATAGGGAGTAGGCTGCCATTTGGGCCACAGACAATGCCAATGAACTCCCCTCTTATATTACACCACCAAGGTCCTCAGTGACGTCCACACTACACAGCCCAATACTTTTACAACTGCCCAAATCACTGTCTCCAACTGCCCAAATCACAGTCTCCAACTGCACAAATCAGCATCTCCAACTGCCCAAATCACCGTCTCAAACTGCCCAAATCACCATCTCCAACTGCCCAAATCACAGTCTCCAACTGCCCAAATCACCATCTCCAACTGCCCAAATCACCGTCTCCAACTGCCCAAATCACCGTCTCCAACTGCCCAAATCACCGTCTCCAACTGCCCAAATCACCGTCTCCAACTGCCCAAATCACCGTCTCCAACTGCCCAAATCACCGTCTCCAACTGCCCAAATCACCGTCTCCAACTGCCCAAATCCCTGACACAAATCTCAACAACCTATATCTCAAACAGAGGGGCGTCAAAAGAACATGCTCAGGCTTAACAACACTGGAAGACACTAGGGTGCCATTTGGGACGCAAATGTGGTATTTAAAACACTGGTAAACATAGTGGTGATGTCACTCATGTGGGCTCATTCAGCCAGTTGCCTCATTTGTCCTACTTCAGGCAGAGGCACCCACCACATCATAACTTGTTAGATAAAACCCAGGTGGAGTAGCCATCTAAGTTTCCCCCTAGATTTGTAATTATGCAGCCAGCAAACGTTTCAAAGGGAAAACCTCTTGCCCACTGACTGCTGACTGACATGTAAGGAATCACCATCATGCAAGAGGGGCTTTACTGGTTTATCTATTCTGCAGCCAAGTTAGATTGACCAGTGTTATATCTATTCTGCAGCCAAGTTAGATCGACCAGTGTTATATCTATTCTGCTAGCCAAGTTAGATCGACCAGTGTGATATCTATTCTGCTAGCCAAGTTAGATCGACCAGTGTGATATCTATTCTGCTAGCCAAGTTAGATCGACCAGTGTGATATCGATTCTGCTAGCCAAGTTAGATCGACCAGTGTTATATCTATTCTGCAGCCAAGTTAGATCGACCAGTGTTATATCTATTCTGCAGCCAAGTTAGATCGACCAGTGTTATATCTATTCTGCAGCCAAGTTAAATCGACCAGTGTTATATCTATTCTGCAGCCAAGTTAGATCGACCAGTGTTATATCTATTCTGCAGCCAAGTTAGATCGACCAGTGTTATATCTATTCTGCAGCCAAATTAGATATGTTTTCATTCCAGATATGTAATGATCACAATAATGAAGATCAAGGAATGGAGGAACTAGTTTGAAGTAGGTTCATTTGAATGATCATGAAAAATGTTGATTGTTGATATGAATAGCAGCAATAAAACTGTAAAAATGATCTTATGTGTCCTATATATCGATCGCCTTAATAAACATAGATTCACTGAAATATGTATATCATTATGTAGCGTACTGTTAGTACTGTAGCCTTCCTCTGTGTGTGAAGAACTCAGGATCTAACAGGAAAATGTGAGTCTCATCCTGATCCAATCAGATGTCAGAATTCCCAGACTCTACCAGGGCCAGGGGGGTGATCCCTCCGTCACCTCCTTCCTCCATCCCTCCTTCACTCGTCACCATGTCGTTAGACAGGACCATTATAAATGCCTCTGCACACACGTCTGAAGCGCGCCAAAGGGATTTACAGAGCTTCAGCAAGACACAGAAGAGGGACGATTCTACCAAGAGAAAACGACCGTTCACTGAATCAGGATGTCTAAGCTTGCACTTTTCATTTTCTGCATTTCAACACAGGTAAATACATTCAGTTAACGTTACAGAGTAGGCTAATCCAAACTACATCATGTTAAGAATTTGAAAGCAACAACTTTGAAAAAAATCACATTTGAACAGTTTAACCTTTTTATTTTCAGATTTGCTCCCAGATATTGGCGCAGGTGTGTCCGACAAGGTGCCTCTGTCCGCAGGAGCCTCCGATGTGCGCCCCCGGGGTCCAGTTGATTCTGGATGACTGTGCATGCTGTCTGGTCTGTGCGAGGCAGAAAGGAGAGGTGTGCTCGGAAATAAATCCCTGTGATACACACAAGGGTCTGAACTGCGACTACACAGCCGATGTACACCAGAGGACAGGTGTCTGTGTCGGTGAGTCATTTGCCCCCTATCCAAGAGCTATCAATGATGATGATGATGATGATGATGTATTTTGTCTATTATTTGAGAACTCCTTGTTTTTACAATTCACATTCATTTGAAGACACACACACTTAAATATATGAAATTGTAGATTTTATCCAGATATGAGTATTGGAAATTAAACGTTTTAAATATTGATTTATGCTTTTCTTGTGTCCTCCTCTCTTCACAGCTCACGAGGGAGACATCTGCCTGTTGGACGGTTCAGTGTACCGGAACAGGGAGACCTTCTTCCCCAGCTGCAAGTACCAGTGCACATGCAGGGACGGCCAGATCGCCTGCGTGCCGCGCTGCAACCTGGACGTGATGCTGCCGGGCCCCGACTGCCCTCTGCCCAGGAAGGTGGCGGTCCCAGGGGAGTGCTGTGAGAAGTGGGTGTGTGAGCCCCAACCGGAGGCCAGTGCCCTGGGAAGCTTCGCCATGGCTGGTAAGCACTCAGTCTCTCTGCTCTCTAGTGTACTACATAGGGAATAGGGTGCCATGTGGGACGCAGACCCTCTCTCTACTTCTCTCTGCTTCTGACGTGACTGGTACTCTGGTGCAAGCCACAAAGTCAAGAGACGGATTCTTGCATGCTTCTGGGTTGACCTGGCTGGCTCTGTGTGAAGGGAAATGCTGAATGCCTCTGAGTACAGAGAGAGACAAGTTGACTTATCCCAGGAAGCCTCTGTGTAGACCTCCGTAGCCAGCCAAAACATTCAATTTCCTGTGCTCTGGAATGTGATGTACCTTGGATCGTTCTTAATATTTGACTAATGGACTTTAGGCACCTAAAGAAATAGATTCCGATAGAACTGTGAATTTGATTACCTGTATACCGATTATACACCAATGCAGGTGTATCAATCATGCAAACCACACAGATCCCAATGCCTGTCTAACATCTTATGCACTTTTGCCCAGCAATTCTCATGTCCATCAATCAATCTAGCATGCATCTGCATTTCCCACGTCACAACATCTGTCTCATCCGGTGTATCTCTCCCTGTCCCCCGTACAGCCTACAGACAGGAGGAGACAGTGGGGTTTGACTCGTGGGACCCCAGTACTAACTGCATAGAGCAGACTACGGAGTGGGGCGCCTGCTCTCGGACCTGTGGCATGGGCATCTCCACCCGGGTCACCAACAAGAACACCCACTGTGAGATGGTCAAGCAGACGCGTCTGTGCATCGTCAGGCCCTGTAGCAAACAGCACCAGCAGCTTCAGCAGAATTATGTTCCTAAGGTAGGCTACCCAACCAACTCTTACTGTATTAATAATACATACCAAATCACAGTTGTAGAAGGAAAATACATCAAGAATTTAAATGGCAGAATATACTATTTTTTTTTGCCATTCGGACTAAATGCATTGAAAATCTTCTAACTAACAAAACTCACAAGAGCTCTGACAAAATACATGAAAGACGTATTACGGTGTTCACCCACTGACAATAATTTCTTCTTCTAAATCCTCAGAGAGGAAGCAAGTGCCTGAGGATGAAGAAGGCGGTGAAACCCGTCCAGTTCAGCTATAAGAACTGCACCAGCGTCCAGACCTACAAGCCCCGGTACTGTGGCGTGTGTGTGGACGGCCGCTGCTGCACCCCCCACAGCACCAGGACAGTGCAGGTGGAGTTCCGGTGCGCTCAGGGTAAAGCCGTCAAGAAACCCATGATGTTCATCAACACCTGCGCCTGCCACTACCACTGTCCCAGAGACAACGCTGAGTATCAGCCATCAGACCTGGTCTACAGTGGCTACAGGTTATAACACTGTACCGCAGATACTTACAACTGAAGTTTCTCCTGTTCATCTGTGACGGTAGTATTGTGCTGTGCTGTAGTAAGATGACTCTATATCGCCATCTGGTGGTTGGTCTCAGGTGGAGAATCTCAATCGCATACTTATCGCCTCCTCTCGCCTCCTTCTCAAAACCCATTGGATGAAAAAGCCAGATGTCCCTCCCCTCTGACATTCTCTTCCAATGGATTTTGAGAAGGAGGCGAGGAGAGAGGAGAGAGGACGCGAGGAGTATGCAATTGAGATTCTCACAGTCAGCCCTTAGCTAACTTTACAGAATAGATGAGCTTTCTGCATCTGATACAGCTGGAAACGTTGTGCTTTAGTGTATCACAACGGCAGAGTTTTCCTTTTCTGCTTGCTGCAAACGGCCTCAGTGATCATGCAGAGCTCCTAGGTCAGTTTTAGACATCCTCTGGCTGTTCCAGAGGTATTTACGAAAATAGCGGTTAAGCTACCTACAATCGTTTCAAGTGCAATGTATGCACATCCAACAATTTTCCAGCTGCACGTCACAAAAAATGTTCTCATGAAAGCAACACCTGCTCACTGTTGTATTTGTTCAGGTGAAAACCTTGTGTTTCTATTCCCCTCATACCTCTGACCGTTGACCTTTTAGACATTCCAGACTCTTGCTCTCTCCCAGGCTCTCCAATCAACCTGGTCTTGGCCCACACAACAGTCATGTCAACAGCCAGGTCAAAGGTTGTTCTCATAACGTACTCCTGCTTTCTACAGCAGCCTGGACCACTAGCCCCCCAATACACGTCAGACCTGGGTCAAATACATGTGTCAAATACTTGAGATGATTTAACTTGAGTTGGCAGTTGATGAGACTGTTCCGTTGGTTCCATTGTACAGGGCAAGCTAAGTCAAGTGCACCTCCAAAGTCTTTGACATAGGTATGTCACCCAGATCTGATAGACTTTCATTGACTGCAATGCAATGTAGATTTTCCTAAAACAGAACGTTAATTTTCTACTCCTGTGTGGTCTTTTCCAAAGGCTTGTTTCCAGTAGTCTCTTGTAGAAAGACACAAGTTCTGTAAATACTTACTGTATAGTTGGTATGAGCGTGTATTAAATACACAATGTCTGTATGTCTATATAAACCCAATGTAAATATGAATTCTATACAGTGTCTGTATGTCTTTGTAAACCTAATGTAAATATGAATTCTATATAGTGTCTGTATGTCTTTGTAAACCTAATGTAAATATGAATTCTATATAGTGTCTGTATGTCTTTGTAAACCTAATGTAAATATGAATTCTATTTAGTGTCTGTATGTGTACTCTGGTTGTGTTTCACCCAGCCTTTTCTGTCATTATAATAATACTGTGCTTACTCATTATTTCATATTAAATATGTATTTTTTTCTATAACTTCTGATTTGTTTGTCTTTATTCCAACCATCATGATATATTGTGTAGATAGATTGTTGGACAACAGAGGATGTACATTAGATTGACCTAAAACTGCATAACACAAGAATGGCATAACACCTTTCATATACAGTCCCGGTCAAAAGTTTGGACACACCTACTCATTCAAGGGTTTTTTCTTTATATTTACTATTTTCTACATTGTAGAATAATAGTGAAGACATCAAAACTATCAAATAACACATATGGAATCATGTAGTAACCAAAAAAGTGTTAAACAAATCAAAATATATTTTATATTTGAGATTCTTCAAAGTAGCCTCCTGTAGCTCAGTTGGTAGAGCATGGCGCTTGCAACGCCAGGGTTGTGGGTTCGATTCCCACGGGGGGCCAGTATGAAAATGTTTTATGCACTCACTAACTGTAAGTCGCTCTGGATAAGAGCGTCTGGTAAATGTAAAAATGTAGCCACCCTTTGCCTTGATGACAGCTTTGCACACTCTTGGCATTCTCTCAACCAGCTTCATGAGATAGTCACCTGGAATGCATTTCAATTAACAGGTGTGCCTAGTCAAAAGTTCATTTGTGGAATTTCTTTCCTTCTTAATGCGTTTGAGCCAATCAGTTGTGTTGTGAAAAGGTAGGGGTGGTATACAGAAGATAGCACTATTTGGTAAAAGACCAAGTCCATATTATGGCAAGAACAGCAAATAAGCAAAAAGAAGCGACAGTCCATCATTACTTTAAGACATGAAGGTCAGTCTTAAATGTCAGTGAAAATGTCAAGAACTTTGAAAGTTTCTTCAAGTACGGTCGCAAAAACAATTAAGCACTATGATGAAACTGGCTCTCATGAGAACCGCCACAGGAAAGGAAGACCCAGAGTTACCTCTACTGCAGAGGTTCATTAGAGTTACCAGCCTCAGAAATTGCAGCCCAAATAAATGCTTCACAGAGTTCAAGTAACAGACACATCTCAATATCAACTGTTCAGAGGAGACTGCGTGAATCAGGGCCTTCATGGTCGAATTGCTGCAAAGAAACCACTACTAAAGGACACCAATAAGAAGAAGAGACTTGCTTGGGCCAAGAAACACGATGAGTCCAAATTTGAGATGTTTGGTTCCAACTGCCGTGTCTTTGTGAGACGCAGAATAGGTGAACGGATGATCTCTGCATGTGTGGTTCCCACCGTGAAGCATGAAGGAGGAGGTGTGATGGTGTGGGGGTGCTTTGCTGGTGACACTGTCTGTGATTTATTTAGAATTCAAGGCACACTTAACCAGCATGGCTACCACAGCATTCTGCAGCGATACACCATCCTATCTGGTTTGCACTTAGTGGGACTATCATTTGTTTTTCAACAGGACAATGACCCAACACACCTCCAGGCTGTGTAAGGGCTATTTGACCAAGAAGGAGAGTGATGGAGTGCTGCATCAGACGACCTGGCCTCCACAATTACCCGCCCTCAACCCAATTGAGATAGTTTGGGATGAGTTGGACCGCAGAGTGAAGGAAAGGCAGTCAACAAGTGCTCAGCATATGTGGGAACTCCTTCAAGACTGTTTGAAAAGCATTCCTCATGAAGCTGGTTGAGAGAATGCCAATAGTGTGCAAAGCTGTCATCAAGGCAAAGGGGGGCTACTTTGAAGAATCTCAAATATAAAATATATTTTGATTTGTTTAACACTTTTTTGGTTACTACGTGATTCCATATGTGTTATTTAATAGTTTTAATGTCTTCACTGTTATTCTACAATGTAGAAAATAGTAAAAATAAAGAAAAACCCTTGAATGAGTAGGTGTGTCCAAACTTTTGACTGGTACTGTAGGTTAATGCATAGTTTAGAGACAACCCGTCTAATGTATGTGACATAACATGCTTTATGACCATTAGTAAGAGATTATGGTGTGCTCTAACTTCCAATACTCGCTTCTTTACAAGTCAGTGAAATTACTGAATGCGCAAAGCTCTCCCAGAGCTGGTGCATAAAATCACTATCCAGCCAACAGCGACACCTTGTGGACTATTTAATAAGTGCAGCAGAGTATAAGGACACATTACTTCTATTGTTATTCCTAAAGGAGTAAAAGTCAGCCACGGCCATAACTGCAGTGTCCCTGATCTGCACAGTGTCTGGTCCTGGTGGTCTGTAGAGCTAATTGGTCAACCATGACCATAACTGCAGTGTCCCTGGTCTGCACAGTGTCTGGTCCTGGTGGTCTGTAGAGCTAATTGGTCAACCATGACCATAACTGCAGTGGCCCTGGTCGGCACAGTGTCTGGTCCTGGTGGTCTGTAGAGCTAAATGGAAAAGTACAGCACGTTACACTTCAGCTCCACTGGAAGTTTCGCGTTGCTTTTCCATCCGCGTTGTGTCAATGTGACGTTCTACCTGCTTCACAGAGCGCGTTGTTTTGAGAGCAGAGAAGGAGAAGGTCTGTATGGAGGAGTGGGACAAAATCCCGGCTGCAGTGTGTGCAAACCTGGTCAAGACCTACAGGAAACGTATGATCTCTGTAATTGCAAACAAAGGTTTCTGTACCAAATATTAAGTTCTGCTTTTCTGATGTATCAAATACTTATGTCATGCAATAAAATGCAAATTAATTACTTAAAAATCATACAATGTGATTTTCTGGATTTTTGTTTTAGATTCCGTCTCTCACAGTTGAAGTGTACCTATGATAAAAATTACAGACCTCTACATGCTTTGTAAGTAGGAAAACCTGCAAAATCGGCAGTGTATCAAATACTTGTTCTCCCCACTCTATATTACCCCCACGCTGTCCAGGGACATTGCTAATTGCCCTCTGTCCCATTACATTTCTTCCGCGGTGCCTGGTTTTGGTGAGGTTGAAGCCAACCTCATCCACATAAATAAATTCATGGCGAATTACATGGGCATCCATCTCCAATACTCTCTGTAACAGACAAAAGGATATACAGATGAGTAAATATGGTATGTCTGAAGTACTGGAAGTAGTGTTGCATACATACCTCTACAAAGTCATGTCGCAGATTCTTGACTCTGTCAGAGTTTCTCTCAAATGGCACCTTGTAAAGTTGTTTCATCGTCACTTGGTGCGGTTGGAGGATGCGTTGTATGGTCGACAGGCTTACAGCATTGATGTTGTTAAATATGGTGTCATTATTCAAGATATGCTCTCTTATCTCTCGAATCCTAATTGCATTGTTGGCCAAAACCATATTTATAATTGCAGTCTCTTGTACATCTGTAAACAAGCGTCCTCGTCCTCCATGATGTCTTTGCCTTTCCACTCTGTACAGAATTCAAACACATCTGACCTTTGACCTATTTATAGGCCTATACTACAGTAAAGCAGTGATTGGTTAGTGATCAGTTAAGCAATTTGTGTTTGCACATGTGAGAAGTGTGTGTGTGACCTGGTGAATAAGTGTAGCATTTTGATTGGTTGTGTTTGGAAAAGGAAAGCAAGTCACTTCCTGTTAGATTTTTGTGTTTTAGGTAGAGAATTGTGTGTAGTGTTTTGAAAAAAGTGTTTTATGCAATTGACAACTGAGTCAAAGGCTGAGAAATAGCTTATGGTTTTGGAGATT